TTTCCCCATGACAGCACCGAGTGTCTCTACGGAGCAAGGCACGCACGGAAAGTGACACCGGTACGTGTGGTTCCATGCAGCCGTATCCCCTGTGTGAACCCGGGCAACTGTCACCGCAACCAGGACAGAAGCGTCTCCCGCCACCGCACGGCTCCTCGAGACGCCTGCGGTGGGGGCGCCCGTGCCCTCGCTGGCCCCGCCCCCGGCGCTCTGCGACCTATCTGTCGTTCCAAGGCCATCGCGAGCCTGGGACCATCCATCCGTGCCCCTGGAGACTCAGCGTCCCTTTCTCAGCGGCCGTCACGGGCCCTGTCAGAGGCCCCTCCGGCTGTCGTGTTTCTCCTGGACTCAGTTGCGGCAGCCTGCGTTTTTAGGAGTTTGCCCGTTTCCTCCAGAAGACCACGTCGCCGATGTCAGGAACGAGGGAGGGGGCCTCGCTCTGCCACCAAAACGGCCAGGAGAAAGGCGGGCGAGTGCCCGTCTTGGGATCGTTCTCCTAACCCTACTACTTACCGCCCCGGCTGCCCCCACGCGCGCCTCTGGGCTGCAAGGGCCAGCCGTGCCCTCTCCCCCGGCCGCATGGCTGGCGCCCGCCCGTGACCCGTGGCCGCTGTTGGCAAGTACGTGACCTTCCGCGGGTCACAGTCCCAACGCGCCCCGGTTCACCCAGGCGACTGCGAAGTCGCGGAAGGAAAGGACAAGGTGTGTGCGATCATAACGTCCTTTATAGTCACGCACTTACCGCCATCGCTTCTCGGTTTCTTCAGGCGGATTCAGAGGATCCTCGGGCTCCCGGGTTTTGCTGTTTGGGCAGATCTTTACATCCGGGGCGGCGCCCGGGACGCAGACGCCTCCTCCCCGTCTGTGGCGCGTCTCGGTGCCCGGCAGCCAGGCTCCCATGTGGCGGAAGGTTTTACTTGCAACGATGTTCACGTCCCCAAGCTCCCCTTTCATACATCTCGGCGTTGGGGTCACATGTCATCGTTTCTCACCCAACCCTGCATACAAAGACACTTCCCTGTGTGTTTTCTTTTTTTTTTTTTAATTTTTTTTTTCAACATTTATTTATTTATTGGGACAGAGAGAGACAGAGCATGAACGGGTGAGGGGCAGAGAGAGAGGGAGACACAGAATCGGAAACAGGCTCCAGGCTCTGAGCCATCAGCCCAGAGCCCGACGCGGGGCTCGAACTCACGGACCGCGAGATCGTGACCTGGCTGAAGTCGGACGCTTAACCGACTGCGCCACCCAGGCGCCCCATCCCTGTGTGTTTTCTAAAAGATTTATAGTTGCACATTTTATTGAGTTAATTAAAAAAAAATTTTTTTTAATGTTTATTATTGAGAGACAGACACAGAGCGTGAGCAGGTGAGGGGTACAGAGAGGGGGAGACACAGGATCCAAAGCAGGCTCCAGGCTCCGAGCTGTCAGCACAGAGCCTGACACGGGGCTGGAACCCATGAACCACGAGATCATGACCTGAGCCGAAGTCCCACGCTTAACCGACTGAGCCACCAGGGCGCCCCGAGTTAATTTTTTGTAGAGGGTTAGAGGTTCTGGTTTT